TGTGTGTTGTTTGTTGTGTGTGCGTGTGCATGTACCTGTGCATGCGTGCGTGTGAGAGAGAGAGATTGCGTGCGTTGTTTTTTTGTCTTTTGTTTGTTTCTGAACATGTGTGTGTGTTTGTGGGTGTTCACGTGTGTGTGTGTCTGAGTGTGAACTTACTCAGCGGCACTCTTAGTTCCAAGAAATATATTTTGGCGATAAAGAACTCGATGGGCACTCTTCTGTCTGATTGATGCTAGTTCCCGAATTTCAGTATGCGATGAATATTCTTGCCTTTCTAAGCTTCAAGATGCATGTAAAGCTCAACGTGCGATATAAACTTCCAATGACGTTTTAAACAAATGGATTTTTTTTTGGCTTATGACCTAAGCGATTTGGCGCTCTTAAAGGGCAACTTTGTTCAACTTCGAAAAGTTTGTCATTCTGAGTGATTCAAACTCCAAAGCACCAGTAAAAGGTGATGCTTGATATGCTTCACGAAAAAATTGGATACATTTGTTTAACCCTCCAATAAACATTAGCATAGACCGAAACCGAACTTTCGTCTTCGTCGGGTAACTTTAACCCGGGGCCGACAAAAACATGACCACCGTTTAACACCAGCGGTCGCGTGATCCTCCACGAGACGGCATGGGGGAGCGGGGCGGGCCACCGTTGGTGCGGGCGCTCGGCGGGAGAGGAAAATACCTACCCTGGTCCGACAACGTTTCACGCATGGACCGTCTGATGCTTTTGGAAACGCGTCCCGTCAGCGAGCATTGACGGTACAGCGTCCAGCTTAATGCGGATATGTAGTTCGTTGGGAGGCCAGCGTCCGCTAGCAAGCGGTGATTACGCAATAGCAGTCTGGGAAGAAGTGATCGGATAATATCAATGCACGGTCAGTTGGCATGAGGAGTTTCCCAGTATTTCACCGGCACACGATGGACGAACATGCATTCCGACGTGCACTGTCGTTACGAAACAAGTGCAGGAAAACTCCTGGACAGTAAAAATGGTAATTAGTAAAGCCAGCGACACAAAAATGTGATCCTCTGGTTCTTTCGCCAGGCATCGCAGCTAGAAATTGGAGATCGGGCCTGCACACCTAGTGTAAACGAAACCGCTAGATACACTAACAACGACCATCCGTCGCCCAGCACCCGCAAAAATCATATCAGTCAAAACTACGAGAACCAACCAACTTCCTAATCTCAGGGTGTTATATTATAATGTTTCCTGCCAGTTCGTTTGCTGGCGTTCACGTCTCAGAAAGTCATGCAGCCCCAAGTTTAATTTGCAAAATCAGTGCTGTGTAGGTTTTTTTCATCGCGGAAATATTGATTGTTATCCATCCATCTTGAACACAGTCAAAACACGCTCCTATTTGCGATATAGCCCGTATGCCACCTAGCTACTCAATTGGCAATTACGATAATGTCTGTTTAACGTGAAAACATGAACGACTATGAAATCAGGGATAAATTCGACAGGATCACTATGACACCCTTCTCACACCGTGTCAATGAAGGGTGTAAATAGGAGCAAGAACACCCTTTTACAATCATGTTCACAATAGCCAAAAATAAAGCGGAAGTAATTAGCGATATTTCCCTAAAACAGCCCTCTCATGTATCTAGTCGGGATTATCATAGTCTTGAAATTAGAGAGTACCAAGGTAGTACAAACATTTTTCCAATACTTTTCTTTTTGTTCGAAAGATTGCACAATGGAATCTACTCCCGGAAGAACAAGTGCACTCTTTGAATGAAGACGTTTTTTTTTTCTTCTCTGTAAACATCCCTCTGGAACTGCCTGAAAACTACGGTGTAATTATTGAATAAAGTATAAATATCACAATTTTATGCACCGTGCGTACTTGTGCGGTGTATAAAGGGTGTATATGAGTTGTAGATCAGTATGTAGACCCATGTTACACCATTCAGTGCTCAAACATTAGGTAACAAGGGGGTTTAAAGGGCGTACGTTCTAGCGTACAACCTTTTTAGATGATAAAGAGTAATAAATTGTTTAGTGTGCAAAACTAAAGTTTTATATTCAATAGGCATTACGAATGCTGATATGCCTATTTGATGCAACTTACTTTCTTTTTGGAAACAAAGTTAATTTATAATTTTAGCTCAGAAGTAAAAATTAAAGGGACCATGAAGTGACCTTTTTACTTTTTCCAGATAACTTTTACATTAAACCGTCAATGTTCACTGAATGCCGAACAGGCATCCGTTTTCGTCTCGGTTTATTAACTTCTACACAAAAAATTATTGAAATATCGACTTTTCATTCTCTCCAACTGACCGCAAAAGAAGCCGTGACGTAGACCGTTTCCGGAACCGGAAGTTCTCTCGGCACTAGGAGAATGGGAGTGTTAGCGGCAACGAGTTGGGGTGCGCCGGTGGGTTTTACTGCGCTGATGTCACCGACGTATTTCCTGAATCGGCGCCTCTCATCGCCGCATCGCAGCTGAGCGAAATTCAATGAGATATGTTGCGCTACAGCGACAGCATGGGACTAGTCCCATACGCCGGTATGCCTGTTGGGAAGTGCAGCGAGTCTTCCGGTGAAGACTCCAGAAGTCAACCACCCCGTCATTGTTGGCAGAAGGGCCGGCCCGTGTCAGTCGTTTGCAAAGCGACGTAGATGGCGTTTTTCGCGGCCTCGGAGATGCAGGAGCGAGCCGCCGTTAAAAAAGATACGTTTGAACCACGAGTGTCAGCAAGAGCCGCGTAAATACCTGTTTACACTCGGAGCGGACGCGCGCGCTTGATGGAAGTCTTGTATTCGCGCTGTTTGTAAGCGCTTAGGGACCGTTCTTTTACGATTGCAACTCGATACTGACGCGACACTCGGCAAAGAAAGGTTGGACCGGGGTTGTACGTATACCTCCCACGAACTGTTATAGCTCGACAGTGACGTGCAGTCTGTTAGAATAAAAATGGCATACCAATAACAAAGTGTACATACCGTGTTACGAAGGTAATCCATACGGCGTTTATTTCAGGTCTATATCACACAAAACAAGAAGATAGAATCGACGAGAGTCCCTTTTCGACGAGTGTTCGTCAACACTGCCTCGGAAAACAAGGGGAAGAGATTGACCTCACCTCTTAATCTAGAATTGAGGTCAGTGGTCAAACTATAATACGGGAAGGGTCCACAAGGGTCGCGCTGGCATATTCCACTTAGCACGCCAGCCGATCGTAGGCAGACGGTCTTGCGACGAAGCAACGCAGCGCCGAGTCGGAATGCCTGCTAGGCCTATACGCTTCGTCGGAGTCGGTGGATCCAGCGTTCTTGTTCGTCGTGGTCTGTTTTAAGTACTGTTTTCTTGCTGCTTGAAGTCGGCACGCGCGGGAAGAACACGTAGAAAAATAAACGTTCAGTCAGTCAGAGTTTTGAGAGGAAGGAAAACAAAGAAAATAAATGCTTGTCGGTCGCCATCAATGGTCGCCGTCACCCAAGTAACTGTCGGCCCTGCCCTACTGCGCACGCGCAGTAGTTGCTTCGTTTACCACACGATAGATGGCGCTTGGCTCTCAGCATTATAAAATTTGGCAATTTTCGCCACACATCTCTAATTATGCTACAAAATGTGGATCTGAATATTATTTAACAAAACTTTTAGGAAACATTCGCCGGCTATTTATTGTTTACGATCGCGGTGCTGGTGAGGTAGGCTTTTACCCAATAGGCGACCTGGATTTGGCTGACGTGCTCCATTTCCGCGGATGCATCGTAGTGAACAGGCGAAGGAAGGAAGGCGCAAAAGAGTCCAGTTTTCTTTTAAAAGTTCTATAGCAAATAATTTTTTTGGCTCCCTATTTTTGTGTTTTTGTGTTTCTTTTCACACCTTTTACGACGTGCGGTGGATGAAACTCGATTTTAAAATCATTTCATGGTCCCTTTAAGGTTTCGGGAACCCCAAAATTATCTAACCGTGAAAATCATAAAACGTAGGCGTCGGAAGCCATTAGAGCACCTGCCCTCTTCTTTGGCAATACAGCGAGGTGCACGGTACTCTGTTTGGCTAAGGATTTCTTGCTTTGAGGATACTAAAAAGTCCGCCCCACACAAGAGCAAACAAAAGAGATCATGTCAACACTCTAGCCAATGTGTGCCGTTTTGATTAGGAACTTTAAATCTTTTATTATACTTACGTTATCTGAGGTGTCCCCTAAAGATCTATGGTCCACGTGTGAATGTCGGCGGTTGTCCACCAACTGACATATATAGTTGTTAGTGCGGGCAAACAACATGTACACAGCGTGATCATCCAGTGGCGATTTTCGACATTCTGCATAGAGACGGTCATAACAAATTCCAACTTCTCCCTCGTAAGGGATACCCCGAGCATGATCACTCAACACTAGGAATTTTAATTAAAGCCTTTCCTATACATAAGCAAAAAAAAAAAAGATTGAGAGTGGCACATTATAATAAAGGTGTAGCACTTCAAACATAAACATTCCAACGGTCGCCTCGAAAATTGAACTCGCTTATTCACTGATCGAAAAAAATAATCCCCTTGTATAAAATGATGAACTACGCAATCACTAGTCTCCCTCACCGCCGTTATTAATAATATTTAATTAGGCTATGAACATGATATGTAAACTCCCACTGTTTTTTTTTTTGCTTCTGAATGTTTAAAGAGAAACAAAAACGCACAATGGTACGGATATTATTACAAACAGTGCGTTCTTTATGGAATCATTTTGGTGGCTTTTATATTTTATCGCGCTAAAATATGTTTCTTTGTGTTCTCAGAGTCTAATAAACACTTTCATCTTACAAACGCACAGTAGGGTTTATTGTTTTTTATGGTTCGAGCTTTGCGCTTTGTTTTCGGTGTTTTGATCTGAAATGCCGCAATCTCTTTGGTCCCGGATCAATAATAAACCGCGTAGGGACTGGCCAAACCCTACGCTTCTGAAGCTGACAATGACTATAACATTAGCATTAAGTAGTCCTCGCTTTCTATCGTTTTCACGAAACGTACTTACATTCTCTGGCGTTGTCTTTTTTGTCTGGTTGCTTCCTTGCTTCTCTAACCCCATCCACCGCCGTCGAGAGTAGAACTATCACCATTAAGATGACAACCATGGTACTGTAGAGAGAACATGACACATGATAAAATGATTTAGGTATGTATTCACAAAGTTTCACCATCGCATTCCTTGAAGTATTATCGCTTTTAAGTATACCGTTCACAATCTTCGAATTAAATACATGTCATCATTTCTGTAACTTTAAGATTAAACGTTCTAGAAAAACAAACATTATTACTATATTAAGATGGCATTTGCTAGCACGTGATCATATAAAAACTATACATTTACGTGATTTACGATACCTCAATTTGGTTAGTGCTTTCAACATTTCCATGCCTCTTTTTAAGAAATTTTATCATTCGTAAAATTTGAGAAGGTAAATCGTTGGTTTCTGTTTTCGCACGTAAAGCACAAGGCAAGTTTGCGGGAAGGCTTGTAGGAATTTTCCAGAATCAGTAGTTTTCACACTTGATTCAATGTGTGTTGGTGCGACAACTCTGGTGTCAAAATGACCCGAATTTACTCCCTCATTCTGCAATAAGAATTATTTCAAATTCTAGTTCCCTCACGCTTCCCGTCCTACCTGAAACCGAATCATTAGTTCGTGGTACTTAATTTAATGCTTCCTAATATAAATAATAAACGGAGAAAAGAAGCCTTAGAATAATTAGGTTGTCCATACAATAAACCGCAATTTGTTTCCCTAGTGTGTAGAACATTGTAAATTATATTCGTGCGCAGTAAAAGTAGATAGTAACTTTGATAATTCTGCCCTGATACAATTCATGGCAACGAAGAGTGATCGTATGGTCAGCCTTTTGTGGAACATGGCATCTAATATACACTCCGCGGCAGAGTTTGCATGGATACCATATAGCGTTTTCAATCAAGTATGTTCATGAATGTTGAAATCAATTAGCAACCATTACTTCATAATGCTCAAACGTTTCGCGCCGCGCACAAGACCGCACGAGCAGTTTGATGACCTCATTTGAATTGGATAAGGAAAGCGGAAGCAAACATTGCATGTTCCGGCTAACTGTGTTATTTTACTATAAAGTATTCACGTGCGCTTTAGTGGGCGTAATAAGTGTAATAGTTATACAATCATATGTACGGCTATTATAAATGTGAAAGATGTATAAACAACGAAAAGGATCTATACAGCAGTTCCTAAACCATTCCTGAATATAAAAGCAATCCACCTTGAAGATGTATGTTTACATCGGCACACAACTCAGATTGTTGGGATATAAGTTGTATGCTGAATTAGCGTCAAAGTGAAGCTTTGGCTACTTTGAAGTCGGGGATTGTAAATTGGAAAATAATCTCGTGCCCTCAGTTTGAGCCACGGCAGCGCATCCCGGATTTCATTACGTTGTTCATCACTAACGAGTGAGTGCTTCATTACTCTTTAATAAACAGAAAACTATATCATTTATCCGACAATTTTTATTCAAGCGACTTGTTGTTTTTCTAACTGCCAATATTTACATATCCAGTAATATATATTAAGTTTTAAGTCATATTTTATAACACGCGGAACGATACGGTTATAAACAAGCTTCCCACAAAGGAGCTTACGAATCTGATATGTATATTCAAGATTAATATCCTAGTGGCGTGTGATGAACTTCTATCCGGGAATAGTATTACTATCCATATTATATATCATAATGCATGACGCAAATGGCTAAATTAATATCCCATCCTTCATTGTCAAAGCACTCTCTTCCGGAGAGATCCCCCTGCTCGTGTCCATCCTTCACCGGGACACTAGATCCTTGCCATTAAACCCGATCCCTCTACACAGCTAACCACTCCAGTTCTTGGCAGAATATATTATACAGATTAGAAACAAAAGACCACGTATTATTTGTGACAGAATCAATTTTGCTTCCTAGATATTTTATACCCATCAGATTAATGACTATATTCGATTTATTTTTTACGAAGGCTTAAGGTCTGGGTCTGAACTCTTTCCGTCGGCTCCATTTCAGGAAAAGTGCAGGACTTGTGCAGGACTGGGGAGGAAACCGTAGGAGTGATCGCGTTTCCAGACCGTGCTATCAAGCTATTAATATATTTCTCTACATTACGATCTTAGAAGTAGCTGATTTACGTATTTCTACTCCACGATGGGATCGTTTTCCCAAAGAGGATGACCAAAGAAATCTTTGCTTTTGCCCTCGAACGCTTTGATAAATGCATATGAGCCGTAAAGTTTCCGCCAAGCAAATGGGGTAGTTAGAAATTCCGCTTTGACAACGCGTTAACCCTAATGATAATTAGAGCTCATCTTCTTTTGGGTGTCAATACAGTGCATAAACAATATGCAGAGCGCGGCATTATCCGGCCAGGATGCTGACGAAGTTTAGATGAACTGTTCGTTTACTCTAGATATTGAGAGCGCAATTGCTCGAAGCTTATGTCAATTGCTGTTCGTGTAGGGGCTTGCTGAGGTGACTGACGTCGCGATCAAGACGGAGATGCTTTCCGTAAGCGTGCTTGCCGCATGGCTTTTTTTATTTTATTTAAAAACGTGAAGTTCTTAAACAAAATAAGTTGTCGACCCTAAAATATAAAAAAGAAAGATATTTGTTTTTATTCACCTACTATTTACTGCTACCTCTCATAAAATGCAACAGAAAAAAACGACATAGAAGGATATGAAACAGCGCTATACAGTAAAGAAATGTAAAAATAAACGAACAAATAAATTCTGGCTTATAATGATAATTGAGAAAACAACTCCAGTGTGTTCCTAGGTTCTAAGAGAGTTTTTGTTTTTCTTTGGAACGGGGAACCCTTCGTAAAAAAGGGAAGCGTTTTTTTTGTAAGTTGTTGGATTGGGAATAGTTGAAACTGCACCCATCATATTCATATGGTTACGTAGAGAACATGTGTTATTTGCTCTTTATTAAGAAAAGTGTAGACTAGATGCTTTGAGCTGGATATCAGGCACATTTGCACATGGTGAATATCACGCTGATCCAAATTTTGTTTATTGGCCACTAAAGCTTGATCTCTATGTTTATAATCCTGAAAAAATTAATTAAGCTATTTGTTTTTGCACACTATAAAATCATAGGCAACTTCATGAAGAGAACGACATCATTCATTATAACAAAAAAATAGGTTCCATGTTTTAGCCCTGTTCAAAACCGCCTTCTTATGCGGCGATACAAACCAAGTATTGCGCGCATTGCGCATGTTTTAAGAATTGAAGATATTAAAGGAATATTATTGGCGTAGAAAAAGTTGATATTAATGTTTCACATCAGTTTTCTAAAGAAATAAAAGTTGTAGTATAAAGTATCTGTAAAATTTTAATCTCAATACAATCTACGTCTTTAAGGATATATTATTTTAATACTAATATCAAAAGCGCAACAATTCGCGTACCCATTTTTTCTCTCTTAGATGTGTCTCATAAAAAGACTATCGCTCAAAGCGTACGATACCGGTATTATTTTTAACAAGAACTTGACAAGGCGGTTCGGTGTTACAAAATCGAGAAGTTTGTTGCATGCGATCCACAATATTCGAGGACATTCGACCCTCAGCCAAATGTTTTAGAAGCTAATTTATGTCGAACAACTACAGCCGTTGCATTCCCAGAATTGTTTATTGACAGAAATTATACACTAATTGTAACACAAACTAAAAAATTACGAACGTGTACTTTTTATTTTAATGCACGAGTTACATTTAGGCGTTAGATTCCTTCTATCGGCATTATTAGAGCATTTTTTATAAATTTTTGACCACCATAAAAAAACGAAGTGATCCTGATGGTTCAACCACTGAACTAAAAGTGAAGATTTTTAAGAGATTTAAGAACATTTCTCGGAAATATTTCATCAAATTTTGAAAATTTCCTTTATTTACTTTACCAGATCACATGTTTATCTTACGAAACCCTAATAAGGAATATAACCGAATATGCAATAACAAACTTTGAGTCCTTAAAAATACGGTTAAATCAAGAAACAAATGAGACCAAACACGAACCTTACAGTTTATCGTAGATTTGTTGTGTTAGCTGTAGGGAAGGCTTAGTTCAAGCCATTCTCAATAATACAAATGCTGGAAAGTCACAGGTTAATGTATTTTAATAATTTGTGTTGATTATTTCTTCAATGTATCGGCCTATAAGTCATTATTAGCTAGTATGCCAAGGCATTTCTATATTTCATACATTCAAAAACAAAATTACTTGAAGTGTGGTATTCGACACATTGGAGCTTTCCGATGATCACCTTGATTATGGGCATTGATGTTATACGTTATACAAAACTAAAAAAGATGTTTACCTGAAATCGGGAAGTTAAATTTATCTGGTTCGAATACTGAACTTTTTTTAAAACATTCGGTCTCACTTTTTTTTAAATTTATCATTATTTTACATTTCCACATCTTGTGATCTGGACCCACATTGGAATTTTTTTTATTTTAATCTTTCGAAAAAGGTGGGGCAATTCAGCTGTGATATTTTTGTCGACTAAATTGTTTTAAACCTATTTCGTGAAGTGGTTGATCTAAGTGCCAAAAAAGCCCCTCTTCAGTGATAATGAGGATCAGCGGCTTTTATTGGTGGAATTGATCATCGAGACAACTCGGCATTATATGCTATCCTAATGGTTAATTGACGCATCGCGTCGTGTTTAAACCCTTTATTGTAAATCTTTAAAACGCAATATATATATATATATATATATATATATATATATATATATATATATATATATATATATATATATATATATATATATATATATATATATATATATATATATATATATATTGCGCTTTAAATATATATATATATATATGTATATATCAGCATACCCGACGGGACATTAAGAGGCCCAGAGTTCATATCCAAGCTTTGGCGTACATTTGTACATTTGGGCTTTCGGCGGGTTCATAAAACTTCGATTTTTTTTTCATTGGATCAAGTACGGTTCATTTTTCTGCACATGTTTATATATATAGATATATATACATGTATTCATGCGGTAATTCTTTTTCAGCGTGAAATTTATTTTTCAATAATAAATTATATATATCTAAAACACGAATTAACCACAGAGAAACTTCGAAAGCGTAGAAACTCACACGATGGTCGTCTGATCTTGATTCAGGTTTGCTCCATCTTGCTTAACCTCGCAACGCGATACTTTGACTTCAAATTCAGCAGTCTTTGCCACTGGAATGAAGAATGAAATTGGCAATAAGTACCGGCAGATTTTATATTTCGTGCGAAATTCGGGGCGTGCTTTCGCAGAACTTTGGTAAAGGAAGGCTATGATTTTTCAGGATTCTTTAAGATATATTAGGCACCCCTTATCAAACATAGAAAAAATTCATAAATATCGCTAAGTTATATTAAAACAGTACCATGAGAAAAGACCTACTTATATCTATGGCACTAACGCAGAAGAGAGTATATAAATAGTGTGTTATGTAACAAGCGGAATTATCTAATTATTCTGGTGCTCTGTCTTTAAAATGTTTACTCTAATGTTAAAGTATAATGTACCACTTTCTTTCAGTCGCACTAATCGCATTGGGTACAGAAATGCAGCTACAAAAATTGAGCAACATAAATCCTAAAGGCCCGTAACAAACAAAATAATATTTAAAACGGGGCACATTAACCAAATAAATTTTACCTACATTTCATCTATTAAGCACCTTTATTACTAGTCCAGAGCAAAAAAAAACTTAAAATTGAACACGGAGATAATCAAGCTTAGTGAAATAAATGCGGAAAGATCAGGTTTAAATAAAACAAATCCCGACTGCCGTGATCTCGCGCAGGAAAGGCACCGATCAGAGGCACATACAAGAATCTATACCAATCCATACAATCAGTAAAGCAACAAAAATTTAAAGAAACCTAAAAAACGGAAACATTGTAAATGAGACAACCGATAAAACTAATACTGTCTATGAATATGGACTCCAAGTCTCGCCTATTTACACAATATCATTTATATCAGGGCATGGAGGCTAATGAGCCATACAATGTAAAAAATTCTACTTTCACCTGCACTGTTGAGTTAGGAATAAGCGCAACCTACATAAATCGATAGCCTATTTTAGTGCGTTTCTAAAACCATTTCACTGGACATCTCATAATTTCTGGATTCCCAATTTTGAGAGCCGTCAATATGACATACGTATCTCCATATCAAAGGACTGCACGTAAACAATACTTTTTTTGTAAGCTTTATATTACTCTTCCTCAAAGTTAACATGTTAAACTACTTTGTATTTTAAGAATTACTTTATGCAAAAAAGCATAATGCTTTCTCTCATTAAGGAAATACATACATCAAATTTTGCGTTGTCTCACTGTAAGGCACGTGTCGTTTTGGAAAGCTGCCTGCAAACATCAGTATTGAAAATAAAAATTTTGTGACATGTGTATTTAACGTGTATTTAAAGTGTATTTAACGTAAATCTAAATCCTGGTGACCTTTTTTCATCACTAACTCGACTGATGCCTCGTCAGCGACTAGATTACAAATGAATTAAAGGAAAATTAAGTGAACATATCTACGCTAGCCCCAAATATTTCCTTCTAAAGCAAAACAAAACAACATTCGTTTTGCAATCGTGGATTGCTTGAAACCATAATCCCATTAAAAAGATTCCGGCCAATAGACCTTGTATTACAAAAAGGCTAATTAAATCCGTCCTTATTTGAGCTCCTTCCAAAGATCGCTTGTCTTTGCAATTTATACAATTAATACTACAGAGGTTGGTAAAATTATATTTAGAATTGGATTTCGGCCATGGACTGCGTTACTAAGATACCGTTGCAAATTACGCATTTCTTGTTTTTTATTTTTTTTATTTTACAAAGCATTTCTTACAATCGTGACGATCGGGTTGGTAAAGTAAGCTAGATACCAGAACGGACCAAACATTGAGTGGTCGAAGCGCAGACGAGTACATTCTTTCAACTCACAACTCACAACGGTCGTTTTTACGCCATGAACAAACCAACTTGTGATTTGAAAGAATGTACTTGTCTGTGTTTGGGCCCCTCTATGTTTTATTATTTTAATCCAGTACTTTTAGTACAGTTTGTGAAACAAATGACGTCAAATTTTCCGGCTAGATTGAGTGGGGAAGTTGTATTAATGTGTCATCTGTCGTCAAGTCACGTGGCGTTAATTTGTCCGCTAAATTTTGCGTAGAAGCAAGAACTGTAAGATTGCATGACATCAATTTCCCCGCAATATTTTTGGGTAAACTGAATTGGTTTAAAGAACAAAATGTAAGGGCTCAAGCGAGCTGGTGTACATTGCACATGGTTGAAAAAACCCTGAGACTGCGGGTAAACGACACAACCCTAAAAGTTCTGTATGAGAGACTTTTAGTGTTCTGTCCTTTACCAGCAGTCTCGGGTTTTTTTCAACTATGTGAATTGGTTTGGAGGTCACGTGACTTCGATTCATGTTACGTCATTTTCCCGCTAAATATAGCAGGGGAACTCAATTTGTGCATAAGTAACGTCTCGTCATGTCATCCGACATCAATTTCCACGCCCATTTTGACGGGCATATTTAATTGTTTACATCACCTGACTCCAGGCCACATGATATCAGTAGATGTCACGTGACTTAAACACCAGTTTAGTTTCCCCGCTATATCTACCAGTACATGCGCGGACGAACGGACGGATGAACAAATTTTTTAGACTGGGGTCTGCCGTTAAAACGAATTCATGCCTGAAATCCAATATTACAGAAATATTATTACTGTTTTGTTTTTTTTTGCGTTCCGTAGTGCATAACATGTTCTTTTTGCAAATATCGGCTCTTCTTACTTAATACGTTTAATTTCTTAAGCTTTGTTTCTAGAACACGAATTACAATTTCCCATACGTACAAAAGAGAGCCTACCAAGCATTCAATTTAATAATAAATAAGTGCATTAATGTGCTGCAATGACAAAGAAGAAAACTTGTTTGATTCCTATGAGAAACTCAGAGTTCTTACAATGATATTTTTTACATCTTGACGTACGCTCACTGTATTCGTTTTAGTGAAAAGCGTAGTAATAAGATGGCTACCATAAGATACAAAGAAAGCATAATTTTAAAAAGAAACATTAAAAACATGTTTCTAACTCAGTGAAAATAAATCGTGAATAAAATTTCCGAAATATTAGCATCAATTCAAGAAATTTATTACATACTGCAAAGCCGAACGAGTAGAATAATGCGATCATTTTCCCACAGTAGATATCATAAGAGAACACAAAACAAAATATGTGGAAACCTTAATCAGGCAGTTTTACTTGTATGCTTCAGGCAAAGTTATATTATGTCTACTAGAGTAATATAGCACTGGCAAAAATGCAGTCTAGGAAAATCTAAAACAGCAGTGTAACCTAGCTAGTTTACGCAGTAATGCTGATAAGAAAGATTAGCCTCTTTTTACACTTAATGACAGAACGGATCTTTATTCCGCAGTTTTTTGGAAGTGAAAAAAAGGTTAATCAACCGATAAACGTCTTAACATAATAGTGGTCGCTTAATTGCTTCCGATGCTTATTTATGTGCATTAAGTTGGCTTTTATTGGCGCTAAAGGTATCAACTAAACCCTGAATAATAAGGTCAAACTTATTTATTTTTTTATTAACTGAATATATCCTTTGTACAAGAAATATATTGTGAATTGTCTATCTCTGTATGGTTTCTCTTGGCTATGTAGTACTTATCTAGGTTTTGTGCAGGTGAAACATCGCTGCAGACGAGAGCTAAAACCGCATAATACTCACGGCTTGAGGCGATTTTCTCAACGTCCTCACGCTGACAGGTGGAGGGTACACATACTCCGTACCGATACACCAAGAAGTAGAAGAAGTGCATCTTCTCGGCAATCTCTCCAGTCACCTGTATGTTAGGTGTATGCCACAGAAAGAAAGAAAATTGGAATTATTTGAATTAGGTCACCGTCATTCTGAAGGAAGACAACACGAGTTTAATATTGTTATGCTTCCTAGATAATAATATTCCACTCAATCACTTGTACCTTTTCTTGGCGTAAGCAGGCCCTAGAAATTGGTGCTTCAAACATGCTGCAAATTCGTGTGTTTTTTTTTTGCTTTCTTTTGTTATGGCGACGGGACAACAACACAAGCCTGATGGCATGAAGTCACAGAAAGCTGTTGAATGGTGTTTCTTGAGACGCACGTTTTTACCCGCAAAGCTCGTGTATAAGAGTAAACTAATTTTGTAAACCGCCTAATGCATACGTTGCGGCGAAACAAATCCTTGTTTAGCTAAGCGCAACAAATATATTTTGTATAGATAGTGCGTATGCTTTTTTTAATCTGAATGAATAAATATATTTCTCAAAAATGATCGCGTAACTTCCCCGATCGCCAAAACTAGATAACAACCCCATCAAAAAAGCAACCTTTAACTGTTGAAATAGGAAACGTATTTCACAGGATAACGTTTGTCCCGACAGTTATTTGGAGGGAATATTCACGTTGCAATCATTATTCAGAGTTCTAGCAATCCCGAAGTACATTCTTATTTAAGGCGTCAACCCAGACACATTCGCACGCTTCGGGAAAGCTAAAATAGGTTTTGTAACTTAGTTATATATTTTATTTTATTTTATGCGTTCTCTTGTACTATGTTTGTCCAATCCACAAGCTGAATGTGTGCCTTTGGGTGCTCAGTGTATCCTTAAAGAAAACAGGCGAGCGTCATATCTCTTAGACAAGAATTCACCACCAAAGTAAGAAGCTGCGTATGCCTGCCTTGTTTTCGGTAGTATTCTTGAAGAGCTCCACCCTGTCGTGCAGCGTGTAATACTTGGGCTTGTGCGGTATGGGCGGCCTCAGCTCGACAGTGCAGTAGCGACCCGTGAACTTTGGTGTCTGGTCCGGGCTGTCCTTGGCCTCGATCGCCACACACTGGTCGTACGAGCCGAAAGCCGTCAGAGTCCCCGTCAGAATGCCGCCAGCGGGTTTGCCTGCCGCATCTAAAACTGAAAATGAGAAAACAAGAGGAATGCAAAATATCAGTCAAAGTTTACGCATACTATGGCCGCGCGTAACACAAACGTATATGGCAAACAAGTGCTCTAAACGAAGTCTTTGGCGAATTCACCCATTAGGAGGGGCACTTCAATAAACGGCGAATAAAAGATCGAGCAGATAACGCGAGATGACGATGACGCCAAGCGCATGCCATCATTGGATGATGGTGGGGAAAAAAGAATCACTTGGGCGCATCTGGAGGATAAAACAAACTAAAGAGGTGCACAAAGATTAAACAATTTTTCATGTCGCATATATTATATTCATTATATGTCAAATTGCATTGAAATGTTGGAAGATGCGCAAGCACATACCCATGCGAGGTAACGGTGCGCCTTTTTCGTTCATTAAAGGGTTTAAGGGAAACGATTTTGCACATCCGACACGGTACGATGGACCCTCCGGTACGAACTGCGCATGCGCTACTTCAGAAGACTTCCTTATGCGCGTTTCGTACAGGAGGGCCCACCGTACTGTATCAGATGAGCAAAAACGGTTCCCTAAAGCTCTCATTGAGCCGACTGTGACACACGCAAGAAAGATACCACAAAACAGTGACGTTGCCTTTTCTGTGCTGCACGATTGACCATAAGGGTTCGTCGCATCGGCACTGCTCCGACTTAAGATGAGACGAAATACACCGCAGGCGAACAAGACGGCTTCGTTCCTTACCTCGCTGACATTGTAAAGTACGGATACTTAGCAGTTGGTATTTGGGATAGCTGTACAGAGTAACGCAAGTTGGCGGCGATATCAGCTGGTGCAGCCGAATTCTAGCCGAAATTAGTGAAATGCCACATTAGCAGCCTCCTGTTGCTACGCTATGAATACAGCTTCCACATTGCGACCATGAGTAATGGGGTCGATCATTCTAAACTTACATTTAAATACACTAAAGTACTTTGGCTTTAACTCATGGATTCTCCGCAGCTGGTCAAGCTCACATTGCAGCACGCTATACACCAAAGGCCCATGTTTAGAAGCTATATTACAATGGTTCTATATTACATGCCCTGTATTTACTTCTTAAAATTACATATATCGGTGTGACAGCCTGGAGCTGAGCTGGTTGGTTTGACATGCTTCCTTCAATAACGGCTGAACGTAGAGGAAGGGCGAAAGAGAGAAGGAAACAAGGACACACACCGCTGTATGTGTCCTTGCATTCACCTCTCCATCGGACAGTGTCGAGGAAAGGGAAGTTCTTCATTAAAAAGGTTGAGAGTCTAGCAGTGTGTGTCCTTGCTTTCTCCTCTCCTTCGATTTTCCTCTACGTTTAGCTGGTATTCAAGTGTACACAGATAGAGTTCAGACGTTACAGTAGTGGACTAAACACTAAAAGTATTGGGCAAAATTATTTTTTAAAAAGTAGCTCGTTACTATGGGAATTCTTTTACAATAATAGATAAAACATACGACCCGAGAAATTAAAACACTTCGAAATCAATGCCGAATTACAAATTGTCTGACTGCAAGGCCAGCTGCAGATTTGACCAATACTTTAAATAAACGTTCGTCTTAGGGGAATTTAATTTCTTGAATACATGAATTCTGGAGAGGACCTCGTTTACCCTATGCATTTCAGAGAAACACAAGTATACCAATGCCACGATAAACAAATGTTTCAATCAAAACTACCCGTAATATCTTGAGAGATAGCCCACCAACACCTTGAGCATAACAGGCGAAAATACCGCGTCGGTTAACTTTCGGTGTGCAAAATTGAGTTCAACTGAAGCCATTGGAATAATAGAAAATAATGCCGAAAATCAAGGTGGGCCAGTTTTTGACGACTGGTGTTTTTTGGGATATTATGACATTCACATGAATGATAGTAAGGTACACATTGTGATTGCCACTTTATTTGCGACATGGAGCGGATCCACTATATGAATGCAACTCCTCTTCTAGCGGCTTGAATTGTTACCCGAGTCCATCATATTTTGTACGGGCAATTCCTACATTTGTTCAACGTAAGTGCTGGGCAGAATGCCGATAGAATTATAACCCCAGTCATTGCGTCCCGGTGTGTGCTACTCCATGCAAGGGATCAATAACAAGCCATGAACGGAAAATATCACACAAGACATGCAGATCACGTTTACTTCCCGGCGAGTTTTCAATGCACTCTACGAGGAGTGATGTTTTGCAAGGCGCTCATGACATATTAAGAAGCATACGTGGAAGTAACCTTGAGAACGGTGTACTCCCCACGACCGGAATTGCTTCAGCCGAACTTCTACGATTGTCCCTAACGAGCGAGAGTGAAGAAGCAAAGGATCCTAAAGATTACATGCTTGTTCCATAAAAAAGGGTGAAGCACTTATCGCGATCCTGCACATATAGAAGCAGGCTTCGGTTCCAAGACCACATAGGCGCAGAGCGCTTTTTGTCTCACACCTGCACCCAACCATCACCTGTGGCGATGTTGAGGCAGTGCTCGCTCCAATTTGAAAATAGGAATCATTTCATTTGATTATGCATTAATGCAAAGGTGCAAGCGAACTGTTGAAGAATGATGAAAATAATCGCTGGAGAAGGTGAACAAGGGGGACAGAGGACAAACACAAATCCCTGGAGATTTGTGTTTGCCATGTTTCCCCCTTGCTTTCACTCTCCAGGGATTATTTTCGCAATTCATTTTTGTGTACCAAATCGAAAGCGAAGCACGAAAGCTACTCGTCGTTTCACATTTCATTTAACGAAAAAGATTTAAAAAATATTAATATGCTCCGTTTCAGCTTAAGGCCACGCGCAGGCGACGCTACGAGCTCATGCAGCGTTAAAACATCAGGTTGCTAGTTTTTTTATGATTGGTTCAGAAATAATAGAAAACGTACAAAAACATGACGAAAAACATGATTGTGCGATTTGGAAGCTGTCTGAACGGTCTCATCAGCTTGTAGCGTCGGCTTCCTGTGAACTTCAGTAAAGCGAAGTATAATGATGACGTCTTGCCCATGGAATCCTTCTTCAAATAATCTTTTATTGTTTGTATGTAAATAAAGACACGTCATCCGAGACTCTAGCCTATTTCTATAAATTTACTGTTATGCATTTTATTAAAATGTTCGTGGACTACATGTAATGGCCAAAACATGTTTTAAAAATATGCTGTTTGCGAATATGACGTACTGTCATTTATCAAATCATAGGTCACCTTCTCTTTTGTGTCATTTGAGTAATATTCTATACCGTATACTGTATATTGTAGGAGAAGACAATACGAAAGCATGTCCGTGAACTTTGGAGTTGCTCTACTGATTAGTGTCAAAACACATCTGCGGGCTGTCCGCCTATTTCTCCTCTAATTTAGCGTCAAATCTGCCTGGGTGAAGATACTTTGTTGTGGTAACTCCGGATTGCTGAATGGAAAGCTTAGTACACGCCAAGCCTCGACGTCCTCGGCATTTCTGAACAAAAAACAAACTGCTTTGTGACAAAATAGATGTAGACTCTTATGATATTATCATTCTTGGACATTTTAGTGTTCCGATAAACGCTGGGATATAAAACAACCTTCATCGTCGTACAGTCGTCTCACACATAAGACGAATACTACACTAAACTTGATTAAATTTATGGAATTGAAGCCGTTAAATAGTTGTCGAAACCCTGCTGTAAATTCCTTGCATCTCGCCTTCGCTACTTCTTAAAGTTGGCAACCCCGTTCAAGTTTTTTTAAAACTCTTGTTCTACATTGTTTTTTTTTTCATTTCGTTCAAAAGTTCATGAAAGGTCATATATATTATATGTTATTACTCTTCCGCTTTTAATAAAAGCGACTATTTTAGCTTTTTTTCAAATTTCTTGGGAGTGCTGAGTGAACAC